TTCCCAGGCTTTTGCTTTAAAATTATTTCTGTTCCATAAAAGAAAAAAAATAGTGATTAATTTATTTTGGCAAGCAGAGTGATGATTGTATATTGCTGTCAGTTCGAGAATGAACTGTGCTTTGCATCCTTTTAATGTCTCTTGAAGGCTCTCCTTTAGGAAGATATTTAAAGTCCCAACTCTCTACCTGGTGGGACTGTGTTATCCAACTGATTTAGAACCCTGTCTGCAGTCCCTGCCCCTCTTCCCCAGCCACATTAACATGGTAGGCTGAATGCCACTTGGCAATTTTCATTCCAGTGACTTCACAAATGACTAGCTGGCAATAGCAACGACAAAGATCCTCTTAGAAACAAAATCAGTTTGTAAGTTTTATGACGTCTTAGTAGCTACTGCATCTTGTCATGATTTTTTAAAATGTAATGTTGTTTATCTGTGTTTTTCAGGTCTTTTCCAAATAACTATTGGGACAAATTTGTGAAAAGAAAGGTAAAGCTTACTTTTAAAAATATATATGAAGTTTTAATGGATGTTTATTTTCATGTTTTAAGAAATGTGGACTACACTTCTACATATAACTTTGATTCAGTGAAGATTTCTGTATTTACCATTTTAAAATACACAGAATTCCTTACCTCATGCTTACAACTACTTTTGTGTGGTTTGGGTAGTTATTCTTTGAAACTTTTTCTACATACAGCTTGTTGTACAAAACAGGAATTCAAATACATTCTTGAAATTCTGTGGAGAATTCTGTGTACACTTGTATGTATATTGCGACATATGTAAATTGTTTTGTCTGTGTGTATTTATGTATTCACATCCGTGTCCACAGAATAGAGTCCCTCACCCAGGAGAGAGTTAGATAGGAATGTAATAAGAAGATAGGACAGATTGAGATGTTTAGACACAGGGCATAGTCAGAAAACTGTACTGACCAGCAAACTATATACATGCATCCAGCCCTTTTTGTCCCTTACCGCTCTATTTTCTCACACTTGTTCCTCCCCAAATCACCTCAGTCCATCCCTTTTCCTACCTTTGCTTCCTCCCCATAACATACAATAATAATTTCTGTGTAATCCCCAAATGCTTTTCTTTCACCATCCCATAATGTATCCCACATCCCTTGCCAGTAACCCTCTTAGTCTGAAAGGTGATCTGCTGAGCTACTCCCAGTGACTTATCTTGATGGGTTTCATACCTGGACA